ATAAGGCAAATGAAACAAAGCGTGTTTGTCCTCAGCAGTTTTTATCATCATGACTGAGTCAAAAAGCAAAATAGATCACATATTCGAAAAAAGCGTCAATTACTGCATTGAATCATATATGTTTTAGAAAAAACTGCTTTCGATCGAAAAGCGACCCGTGGTCTCCTTCAGGCTTATTGTTCTAAATTTTTGCTCTAGTTGCCCAGCGATCAATTTTTTAAAGAAAAAAAAATATTCTTAAGAAGTGTAGTATTCGTTGCTGTTTCAGAATATACTATCTGTTTTGCTTTTTGATGGAGCTATTATAATAAAAACTGCTAAATATAAACACGTCTTTTTCTTTTGTTTTATGTTGCTATCAGACGGGAAAAAAGTGGAAGGTTCTCGACAATAAAACAAAATCTAAAATCACCTAATAGATACTTTTGTAGCTCATGACCTGGTCATTCTATTAAGAGAAGACAGTTGCTTCTATTTTTTTGTACAAAAAACCTAGATAGACTTACAAGAATGCTCATAGATACACATACTTTGAATTTGATGGGCCTAATTATATAGGATAGGATTCTGAATTTTAGTAGCTCTACATACTATTCAATAAAATAATCCTACTTACTTTTTCATAATGATTCATAATATAATACTTTCAGAAAGTTTGTAATATAAATGAAATCGAAAATTGATCATTTCTGTAGGAAAAGCGAATTTGTGGCTACACATATTATAGTTTAGTCATCTGATGTGTTTAACCATATTTACAGTTAAAAAGTAATTGGATCGAAATAAAAAAAAAACATATTAACATGACCAGCTTTTGTCGCTCTATCAAGTCATATATACTAAATTAGAATGAAAAGAAAATTCACTTGAATTTTGCATTTCCAACACTTTATTTAAAGTTCTTTATATAACAGAATACGAAGCGATTTCTTAGAAGAACAGTAGTTTTCGACTAATTATTCATTAATATTTACAAAAAAGTAAGTCTTTTTGTAACTAATTAATTAGTACATGACCTTGTACTAGGGCCGATGAACTTTAATTTAGATATGATCTTCTAATAGGGCGGCCTTCTTTTCTGAGAGCGGATGTTTAGGACTTCCACTATTGTTACCAGTACCAGCATAAACAACAGCTAATTCTTTATGGGCAGTTCTGGATGAAAATCTATTTACAGAAAAGAAGCCATTTGTGTTATTTGGAACTTTGTTATCGAATTCTTTGCTATGCATTAACTTCTCTCGATAAACAGTTTTAATCGTTTGCTCGGCTGCGTTACTAATATTAGATACTGTTACTTATTGTGATATATGTCGTTCTTTTAACTGTAAATGTAGACTAAAAAATAGTATTACATGCATCATAATACTCTTCAAAAATTTATCGACAATGTTTCGTTCTGTTTGATTATTTATAAATTTTTTATGACTAAAGTCCATGATTGATTCTTCTAGTGTAGATTGCAATGTTAACTAAAATGTCACGTAAAAATTATGTATACATACATAAATGGCGCTTCTTGCCGTTTAATAGTATCGTTCAATGATGATAACGATAACTGAATAGTATTATTGATGGTAACAGTAGAACTATGGAACATATTTGACAATGAATTAATAATAAAGTCATCATTTAAAAAATCCATGCCTACGATTTCGTTTTATATTTGACAATTGACATAATTGATTACATAGTACCTTCAAATCAGCATACATTTCATGTATTTCAATCAGTGTTTTCGAATATTTGATTACAAAATATAGATTGAATCAATTGGTGAAAGCTCTTCAGTTAGTTTCAGGAGTGGATCAGTATATGAATTACATTATTCTCAGCATCGTGTATTTTAGTAACGTAGTTAATATCTTTGTTTGAGTTTCGAAATGTTATTAGATGACATGAATCAATATTGCATAAAGCAAGATGAGTTGTGCAATCACGTCCAATATGATGGTTAAATAAGATTTTTGGTCTAGTCATATTGTTATACAATGTATTACTGCTACTTTTTCGGTTCCATTTTCAAGAATGTCGAGTGAAAAATGTGGTGAATAGAAAAAGAGGAAGAAGCTTATTAGTACAGCTCTTTTACGGCTGACATGTATACGCCACATACTCCATGTAAAACACCAGAGAATTCAGTATAAATTGTTTTTATATGTAATGAAATGTACTTTTCCGTTTGGAACAAGTGAAGTGAAAGAATGAAAGAATTATTTGGGTATAAATAGAAGATCAATACCGACACACTCACAACGTTAATAGGACATTAAATATGAGTAGTAATTATCGTCTGGATGAAATTAAATTCTCATGAGCCAAATTTTCAATTCAACTTCTTGATGAGCACTAAACTTTTCTCGAGTTTCAATGAGCATATAGTTGAATTTTCATCTCAATGTTCTTGTATTTGTGAATTCTGTTTAAAACAGATTTGTTATGAAAGTCTGCTAATAGAAATATTGTTTCACTTCGTATTTTTCAGATATATCAATGATTTTCTTGCTGTAAAAACAAAAAAATCTTGCATAGTATTCCACGAAATCAATTAAGTCAATGAAATCAAAATAAATGCTCTTTCAATCATACCTATTATGAATCTAGTGTCTTCGAAAAAAATTTTGGTATTAACTTCGTCATAATTAAAGCTTTGCTGAATAAAATATGTGAGCACATGCTTTTTTTCATTCTATACACTTTGATATGACATATCATTGGGTATTCTCACTCCACATGGACGCACAAACGTGACATAAGTATAGTTGAAGAAAAAACACATATTACACTTGCGCATTCTACGTACTACGAGTTATATCTACTAAAAACAAATCTTATCTTCAAACATTACCCATCAAGCAAGTTCATGGAATTTTCAATGATCTCGATGCAGAAACAATAGTTTTTTCAATATGCTCTGTATGCAAACGATTCTATTCCATTGCTAATACCTACAATCGCTATGAGATGAACCTCCGTTATACGTCGAAATCTGATCTGTCTATCATGACACGTATTCATTGATTCTAAAAATGTTATTT